AGTGCTCCCCATCACCATGCTCACTTTTTCTTTTTATGAAAAGGGGGGAAAAAAACACTTCTATGGTACTAAATTACAAGGGCATGGGCAATTATTTTTTTAACCGTGCGGTCCGTGAATTGCTGTTTCTAATACTCATAATACTCTTCCGGTATTTAATATTCTTCCGGTCTTTAATATAAGACCCATTTAATTAATTTGATTAGATTAAGAAAGTTAGGTAAGTTAGTTAATTATAAAAAAAGTGACACATTTTCCTTAAAACACCATAATCATCTTTCTTAATATCCCTTCCCCTCTTCTACTTGATTATGGTTGAGTGAGTATCCATAGGGGTAATTTAGAGAAAACTGATAAATATGAGAAATGAGTCTTATATTTAGGACCAAAACCGACTCAAGAATTGGGTCCTATATTAAGGACCGAAGGAGTATAAGATCTATTTAGCTAATTTGGTTAGATAAAAAAAGTTAGGTAAGTTAGTTAATTATAAAAACATAGCATGTTTTTCCTAAAACACCATAATTATCTTCCTTAATATGCTCCCTCCTTCTTTTACTAGATTATGGTTGAAGGAGTATCAATAGGGATAATTTAAAAAAATGATAAATATAAGAAATAGATTTTATATTTAAGACCAAAATCAACTTGACAATTAGGTCCTATATTAATGATCAAAGGAGTATATCCTATTCTTCTTATCTTAAATATAGGACTTATTTTATAATGGATCTAATGATCAGACGAGTATACTACTCTGCTTGATCCAATCATTAAGGCACCGTTTTCATGTAAAAATACCGACTCCACTATATAAATCACATACGGAGATGCCCAGAAAAAAGTACACAACATGAGCAGGAGCATTTCAAGGCCACAGCGGATAGCTAGCCTTGTCCCCACAAGCAAACGACAATGTACCTCCCAGTATAACCACGGCAAACCTCCCGTCGTTTTAGCTTCCCTGCCTCACATTATCCAACATACGACTCGTCGTTGGCTTCCCTGTCGCCTTCCCTCACATCGTTATCAACTACCGTCTCTCCCGAGCTGCTCTGCTTCCTTTGCACATCTTCACACAATAAAGCCGGCACCTTATTTTTCCCACCAAATGTGAGAAACTACCTCAACAATTCACTCAACATTAAATTCCGGTACCGGCTCTCCGGTGATGTTGCCGGAAATACCAGCTGCTCCACCGCCTGTTTCCTAATTTCTCCTTACCGGGATTTGATCTCCGGCCCTCATTATCTTAATCACTATGCCTCGGTCGTCAAACCCGTCCCTGAACCTGAAACAACGGGTTTTCGCTTGCCTCACTAAGCTTTCCGACCGAGACACACAGTTGCTCGCTGCTGCCGAGCTTGAGTCCATCGCTCGGAACCTCGATCCGAACTCTCTGTCGGTTTTTCTCTCCAGCATACATTCCACCGATGCGTCGGATAAACCTGCCGTTCGGAGACAATGCGTGCGAGTCTTGGAGGTACTGTGTGAGACGCATGGAAATTCGCTCTCTCCTTATCTTTCAAAAATTCTTGGCAATATAATTCGTCGGTTCCGTGACCCCGATTCGTCGGTCCGATCCGCTTGTGTGAATTCCGTTTTGGCATTGTCGACTCACGTCACGAAGCAACCGTTTTCCTCTTTTCTAAAACCGTTAGCGGAGGCCCTGTTCACCGAGCAGGACCATAATTCGCAGATGGCTGCGGCGCTTTGTTTGGCTTCTGCCATTGATGCCGTTCCGGATCCGGAGCCGGCGAGATTGATGAAGCTCTTGCCCAGGTTCGAGAAGTTACTGAAGTGCGAGGGATTTAAGGCAAAGCCGGCGCTGTTGACGCTGATCGGAAGCGTTATTGAGGTTGGTGCGGCATCGAGTCCTGGGGCTTTGATAAACTTGGTTCCTTGCATGGTGGAATTCTTGAGTAACAAAGATTGGGCTGCAAGGAAGGCTGCGGCCGAGGCGTTGATGAAGTTGGCAACAGTGGAAAGGGAAATATTATCCGAATACAAGGAGAGATATCTGAAAGTTTTCGAGAATCGACGATTTGATAAGGTTTTAAAATGCGACATTGACATTTCTTCTTTGTTCCTCTGATCATAACTCTGATTTTCCCCTTGTGGTTTGGTTAATTTATGGTAACTTGAAAGTGCATTGAGTCTATGCCTTGTTTGATTCAGGTGAAGGTTGTTCGGGAAGTCCTGAATCAGATGCTGGAAGCGTGGAAGCAGATACCTGATCTTTCCGATGAATTTTCTCCACCTCCTCAATCGCAAGCTTCTTCCAAAGGTATTACTTTATTCATCTACCATTTGCTTATTATGGCCGTTGAAATAGATGGAAACTCAGTTTATTCTTTGGTTGCTGTTGAGCTTTTAAAGGCGGAAATGATGATCATTAATTACTCTACGTAGTGATCTGAATCTGATCTTACATTAAATCAAATAGTATGTTTAACCTGGAATTCACTGAGGTCGTCAATTTGCCTTTGGCTATTGATTGCTATTTGCTTATCTATTCTTGGGTGCGGGCTGCCTTTGATTCAGAGAATGCAAGTGATGGGCGCTATCCACCAGTCGTGCAGAGTTCATGCGCTCCTGGTTCTGTAGTGTCTCAATTTCGGAAAAAATCCGTTTCAATTAGCAGATCTACCCCCCCGGCCAGTTATACTGCTAGCAAAACTAAGAAGATTAGTCCCTTGAGTAGTAACAAGAGAATGAACCCAAATGTGCCCCGAAAGCCGAACCATAAGAATTGGGATGTTCAAATAACTGTGCCGGACGCTCCCTCTGCGGCTTACCGGGGTGATTCTGCAGACAGGGACGAGTTTATCATGGAAAGAAGCAAAAAAGAGAAGACACGGTTTTCAAAGCCAGAAATGAGAAGGGCTCTTTTTGGTAAAAACACTGATGAAAAATTTCACAAGTTTGGTGGGTCCAAAAATGGATCTCGTGTGGTTCCCTGCCATGAAGACAGTGAAGATTCTGTTGCTGTTAGTAATGTCGCCAAAGATCAAAACAAGAATGACAAAGAGTGCGAAGATTTATCTTTGATCCGCAACCAGTTATCTGAAATTGAAAAGCAGCAATCGAGTTTGCTTGATCTTCTGCAGGTTTGTCACCAATGCTTGATCACCGAATTCCTACCATAAATTTTTTCTGTGTACTTGGCTTCAACTGTGCAAGTCTTTTGTGAGAAGGCTGGTTAATAGTAATATAACATTTGCACTTATGCTGTATAGTTTGATGAAGAATATTTCTCAAAGTGTTTTCTGTGTTCTTCATACAGAGATTCATTGGAAGCTCACAAAACGGAATGCAATCTCTGGAGACTCGTGTGCATGGCCTCGAGTTGGCATTAGATGAGATCTCTTATGATTTAGCTGTATCAAGTGGAAGGATGACCAATGCTGATGCTCCCGGGAGGACTTGTTGCTTGCTGTCTGGTGCAGAATTTTTAAGCTCCAAGTTCTGGAGGAAATCACAGGGCCGGTATTCATCCTCCTCGATCTCTAGATCTGCAGGCACTCCATCACTAGCTGCCATGCACTACGGAGCTGACAAGCATGGCAGTACTGAAAGAAATCACAGATTAAGGTTCCGTGGTGATCGAGGTTTCATCACTAATCCTCTGGCAGAGGTTCATCTGAACTCAAGAGAGACATCAAATATTGCACATGAGTAAAACCAGCTGAAACAATAGGTTCACTTACCACTTCATGAAGCTTCTATTTCTTCAAGCCTCCTCTTCTGTAGCCGCTAGATGAGGCCCATTTAGTCTTTAGGCACTATCGCCCATCGATTACAGACTTGCGAATGAGATTAGCAACGCCAGTTAATGCAACTCTTTTACACATGCGGTATAATTATTCTGCACTGCTATCTGTTTTTGGCAGAAATGCTACGCGATCTGGATCCCTATTTAGATCTTTTGATTCCGAATCAGCTTGTTGGAAGATCCCTTGATCAAGGAGACGCGATAATGATCTTTATGAGGTTATTGTGAAGTATCATCAAGAGCAATACTTGGCGTCGATTCACTGTTGAAGGGGTCTGGGAACTAGTACATAAATTCACGTTACTGCAAAATTTCCTGAGTATTCGTTGTTGATCATTGATTCTTGGACAGGGCAGATTGGATGGAGCTTGCCGCCAGATACCCGCTTTCAGAGTTCAGAGAGGGTTGATGAGTCTAGTATACAGGGTTGGCAGGCTGCTTAACCCTTTTTTTTTTTTTGGGGCTTTTTTATGATTAATATTTAATATTTAATTGCCAGATTATATTCCGGTTATGTTAAAAATGTTAACTAGGACTGCACCTATACAATTTCGTAATTTGATAGCAATGCCTGTTCTCTTCCTCTTCCCTCCTTCCTGAACCTTGTTTTAAATCGAGCATTCAAGATTAGAGTTCCAGAATGCTGAGTTGAAACTGTGGCGGGCCACCGACTTCGGCTTCTAGGTTGTACTTAGAGACAAGGCCATCTTTCCAAATCTTATTTCGTAGCTAGTCGCCTGCAGAATAAAACATACGGAGCTCTAGTTTATTTAGGCGACTATATCATCGAGTCTCGAAGCTGGAAGGGTGACGAATCTGACCTTACCCTTGAAAAGCCGAAAACAAGTTTTATTTTTCTCGTCAATTTATATCTAATAAATTTGACACCACGCTAAATCATAAGTACTAATAGTATTTATATTTCAACATAATATATATTAAAAATCTATCTATTTATTCATTAAAGTTCCTTCTTCTAATTCCAATCTTCACTGAATGACTCAACACCAAAGAACCGTGCATTATTTTCTAGTTTCCTATACTTTCAAGTCGACTCGCCTTCATAACAAAAGGAAAAAAAACATTAGAAAAGGATGAAATGGTTAGCCGGTGACTTTCATGCCTGAAAACAGAGGCATAAAAAGCGCAGTTACGTCACAATATCTTTTCATTCCTTGGCGACGCACAAGGCACAATGCAAAATGCTTATGATGCTGCTGGATGGTGAACATAAATAAGTTAAACCACATTTCATAGCTATTCATTCATCCCTTACAGGAGTATTTGAAACTTCTTTCCTAGCCCATATTTGATATTTCTCAACTGAGGGCCGCCCTTATCCCAAACAACTTGTCTTAAAAGACAGGAACGGATTATTGAAACGTAAATGAATCTAAAAAACTCATCAAAACGGCAGGCTAATGATCCCAAATAAGATTCCTTATATCCGTAATACAACTCTTGAGTTTCACTTTTCGTATGATGTCCAAATTCCAAAAGGAGGCTTTACAGAAAGTCTTCAGACGTCAAATGCAAGGCATATATAGATAAAGAGGACTCGGTCTACTTGCAAACTTTCAAAGCCACTCAAGCCATTATGACTTTCCCACAGAGCATTAATTATTGCCTCATCGTTTGGATTTTTTCAAAAAGCAAGCATTATATTTCTACACAGTTTTAAGCATAACAAGCAGATAGATGACTGAAAATATGAGATCGAGTCATGAAGCTTGGCTCTGATCATTAGAGTCTTGCGGTTCAAGTTTCTGCAGGAAAACAATAATGTTAGGTTAAAGAGGTGCATGCCGAAAGGTAATTTGACAATGGCAACGTGATAGCACATCAAATCCATGATATTTTGGCAGCAATTGATAGAAACAACCGAACCAAGTTGATAGCGTGACGCGACCCAAATAGCAATATTTCTACTGAAAAAACCATTACTAAGTCATACAAGAGACACATACTTGCAAAGTGGGACACAAAATCATAGGCAGTGTCCATCATACAAGGGAACAAAATTCGAGAGTTCAAGGACTCCGCTCAATTGAGTACACTAGGGGATGAACAAACTGAAAGGCAGCAACAAACCATGTACACAGTCCCCAAATTTCAAAGTCGATTGCTTGGAACCTTGGAGACTACAGTAATCAAGGTCCAATAAGAACATGATTCAGATCTCAAACTCCAATCAAACATAAGCTTATTTAACACCTTCATTTGAAACTTAAATGATGAACTGAAGATAAATTTGTCTCCAAACTCCAAATCCACAACCTATACCGTTGTTACTCCTCTCTAACCCTTCAGACATGAAAGACATAAGCCAACAGCACAGAGTTATTCCACTTAATCATCTCTAGTTCATGCAGATAGTATAATATATGTAAACAGAAACCTTCCGGTTGTCAACCATCCTCCATTTCTCCCAAAAGAAACAAAAAGAAATTTTGATGTCTAAATTGAACTAGAAGCAACAGATGTCTAAATTGACCTAGAAGCAACAGAGGGCAGAGAAAAGGGGTTGTTAAAGAAATTTATAAGAGCAAAAGCAAACAAGAGGACAGACCAACATAAAGGGAAGGAAAGGAAGGTTTACAATGTTGTCAACCAAAAAGCTCTCAGATTGCAAGAAATGAAATATGAACTCTGGAGAGGAGGCACTGGGGCGTGAACTCCTGTCCCTTCACACCCCTTCGAAAATCCCCCATCATGAAAGCTACCTAAACTTTACACCTTTCTCCTTGCACCAGACAAGTATGAAATAATCATCGTTTTCAATAAACATATAAAAGGCCGTCCACATGAAATACAAGATTCGGAACATGGGGACTGCAAACCAACATCTTGGCAAAATGATCTTTACAAGTACCACAGCTTATCAACCAGAAAGCTTCAGCACTTTTCCTACTTTAAAACATGACATCAAAGGTTCTATTCCATAGTTCAATTAGAAGACTCGACTTCTGCAGCAAGAATAGAAATGATCATTTTCGAATTAAAAAACTGAGTTCATTTACTGCATGTATCATCATGTCAATTAACCAACCTGATTTTAAAAGCATCGACAATCTGCATCGCCATCATAAAAGACATTTACTTTATTATGCTTCTTTACGCCTAAAATTAGACGCCCCCTACGCCTGAAACTAATCTTGTTAGACTATAGACTATTGTCATAATCCCTCGTCCACAGGTTAACACTATTTTATTATCACTGGAAAATGAAAGAAACTGTACAGTTGTAGATATAGCCCAGAAGTAAAGAAAGATAGTACAAGAAAGAGGAGACGGAGATAAAGTACCGATTGAGCATTGGGCCAAGCAAGGCCTCGATAAACATTAACAGAGAAAGAAGTGGCGGTGAGGTAAATGGTAGCAAGTCCAAGACCCGCCGTGAATGCCTTGAATGCATAATCTCCGACCTTACTCGCTACTTACTCCATGCTCTCTTTCCCTTTCGTCTCTTGATGTTTTCCAATTAATCTCACTCTATCTGTGATCGCCGGTGAACCTCGAGTTCGCCGATTTAGGGTTTTTCTGCCGAAATATTAGCGTTTTATTATAATATTATATTATTATTTTTTCCGACTTTTTTTTTTGGCAAACCCGACCTATGTTATTGATAATATAGTTAATGCCATTTTCACTTTTAGAAAATTTTAGTTAATGGATTGGCCCACAAAATTATTTTATAGTGTTGAATAATGATCTGAACAAACATATCATAAGTCAGTTTGTAAATTATGAGCTATTTGTAATAGTTTTTTACCAATAAACTTATGGATTAAAAGTTATTGTTTTAAGTATGATTGTAAAAAATACCTAAAAATTATTTTGACTTATGTAAAATAGTT